AGGACTTGGGGGGGAGCCTCAGTAGTATGGGGGCGGTCCTAGAAGAAACAGCCCTACCTACCCCTATCCTCATGGCCACCACCCACATGGTCAGCCAGCCGCTGCCACTGTTGGGGTCCTCCTGACACAGCCATAGCTATGGCTGATAACATGGCTCTTGACACTTCAGCCGGAGCTTGCCCCTCCTCAAACTCCCTGACATGCTCATTGGCGCTGCCCAATCAGTTGTTCATGTGCAAACTTCGGGAGGTAAAGGTGAAGGGGGGGCGGGGGTCCCCCTGGGGGGCGCTGCCCCCCGACAGCAGAGTCTCTGAACCCTTGGACATAGCCTAGCCCCACACTGCTCTGTCTTGGACATCTCAGTCTCTATCCATATGAAATCGTATGTGGCCCAGGCTGGCCTTGAATTCGTGGCGATTCTCCTGCCTCGGCTTTCCTAGTGCTGGGATTACAGGTGTATACCATTATGCCCAGCTAGGTCTGGGGTGCCTCAGGAACTTTCGACAAGTTCACCCTGCTCTCGCTAACCCGTCTAAGTGGTGTTTCCCAGTGGCTGGCACACCTCTTCTCTACCAGCCAGTACTGCCCACCCTCTGTCCTGGTGTCCCGGGGGCTCTATTCTTAGGAAAGGGGGCGAAGAGGGTTGAGGTCCCCTGACCTACATTAGAAATCCCTGTATCCTCCTGTGTCTGCTCAGGGCTCTCTTGGTCCCATAGTTCCCTAACTGCTACGGTCCCATCTTTCCTCTCAAGACACCCTCTGCCTCTACATCCCTCTTCGCGATATGGTGTCCATTTCCCTGGATCCCCCTCAGCCATGGGGGACTACACCTCTGCCCCCCTTCAGATTCGCTAGGAGGAGGCCTGTGGCTGGCAGAGAGGGGGGAGGAGGGCGGGACAGTGGGCAGAGCCTAGCCTAGCGGCAGGCAGCCGGGATGTGTCCTCCGCTGGCATCTCACAGATTCCTCTTTCAACAGAGCAAAGGCGCCGCTGCCGCCACCCCCACCCCCACCCGGCCTCCAGCCGCTCTCCGCTGCTCCTCAGCAAACAGGCCGAGCCGAGCCGAGTCAGAGCCTCTCTGTTGGTTCCCCCTCATGTCCCTTCCTGAAGAAACTACAGCCTGGACCCTGTCCTTCGGGTCATCCTGTGCCTGTCTGGAGCTAAGCTTCAGTCACATGCCATCTGCGAGCAGAATGAGGACCCTTGCTCAGGGAAAGGACAGCTAGGCAGGGACAGAGAGACAACAGGACAGAGAAGGCAAGTCTGGGGACAGAGACAGTCAGGGCACAAGGAGGTTTGACAGGGCAGATGGGCCCACGGGGGCCGGGCGCACAGACAGCAGAGCCAGGCACGGACAGGAGGTCAGCGGTGCCCGAACGAAGAGGTGACTCCCTCAGAACCGTGCTGGGGCTGAGGCCAGGGTCAGCTGTCTGTGGGGGTGACCACCCTTGGGGGTACCAGGCCCGGCTGGCACAGAAAAGGCACAGTACTCACTGTTGGCCAGAAGCAGAGCGCAGCGGCGGCCGAGGCCCGGGTGCCGTGCCCACCTCGGGCTGGGGCTGGAGCTCTGGGGGACGTGGCTGGGGGGCCGGGCCGCCGGGGACAGCTGCTAGCGCTGATGTCACAGGGTCATGAGTGAAACCTGAGGACCGGGCCAGTCTTCAGGTGGGTGCCTCGGCCGCACTTCCCTCTTGGTGTGCTCTGGGCTCACCCGGCCAGCGCCTGGGCGCAGGGACCCACCACACTGAACCCAGGAGTCCAGACCAAGACACACCCACCCACGCAGGGGCTCACGCTCACACGCGTGTGACCCCCCCCCCCCCAGGCCCAGTCTTCCTCACAGTCGCTCCTGGAAGTGTTCACCAGGGAACAAGCTTGTTCACACACTCACATGTGAATTCTCTACATACAAATGTTGCACGACTAACGGTCTCAGAAACACACATAAGTCACCCTTCATACACACACACACACACACACACACACACACACACACACACGA